CCCTGTCCCCTTCCATCCACACCATCCTGTCCCTGTCCCTGTCCCTGTCCCTGTCCCATTCCAGCCACACTCTGTCCCTGTCCCTTGGCACCAGGGCCGGGGTTCAAACCCCAGGGCTTTACCTGTGCCCAGGGCTCCTTCCCCTTCCCCTTCCCCTTCCCCTCCCCTTCCCATCCCTCTCCTCTCCGTGTCTCTCCCTGCTGTTCCTGCTGTTTCTCCTGCGGCTCCCAAAGCCACTTGCTCTGTCAGGGCTGTGAATTATTGATCAGGAGCTCTCTGCTGTGCTGCAGGACTGGAACCCTCGGGTTTTTTCCAGCCCTGACCCTGCCCAGTTCTGCCTCGTGGCCTCCCCAGGCCGAGCTGGGGCTTGGCTGTCCCTCCTCATTCCGGGGCTGAATCCAGTCCTGGCTCCCAGAGGCTGCAACACAAGGTCCTGCTGGCAGCTCTTTCCTCCTCAAACATTTTACATTTATTTTTTTTTAATTTTAAATTTTAATTTTCTATTTTTTATTTTTTTTAATGTTTAATTTTTAAATTTTAATTTTCTATCTTTTATTTTTTATTTTTTTTAATTTTTAATTTTTTTTTATTTTTATTTTTTAATTTTAAATTTTTAAATTTTTAATTTTTTAGATTTTTTTTAGATTTTTAGTTTTTAAATTTTTAAATTTTAAAATTTTTTTTAATTTTTAGATTTTTATTTTTTAATTTTTAATTTTTTAATTTTTAAATTTTAAAGCAGGAATTTTGGGTGTCTCCTTGGCCTTCCCCAGCCCCCCAGGGTGTGTTTGGGGTGGGTGCTGACCCACGGCCCCACAATTGGCTCCTCCTCCACTCAGCAGCTTTCCAGGAGACGAAGCAAACCTGATTTAGTGCATTAATTTTATTTCCCCTGTGATTATTTGGTCGGAATTGTGGTTTTAAAACATCACCAGTGCAACCGGGAGCAGATTGATTTGAAGGAGTGCTCCTTCCTTTTGCCAGGAGTGGCTCCCCTCTTAAATCAGCCTCTTTTATTTAACCACATTGCTTCATTTTTTAAAATTAAAATAATAAATAATAAATAATAAATAATAAATAATAAATAATAAATAATAAATAATAATAATAAATAAATAATAAATAATAATAAATAAATAAGAATAAATAAATAAATAATAAGAAAAAATAAATAATAAAGAAATAATAAAACCTTTTCTAAAATGCTGCAAATCCTCAGGATGTGAAACAGCAGCCTGGCTTTTTCCAGAGGGACAGGAGGGTTTTTCCTGCTCCATGCAGTGAGTTTTGTATCCTCAGAGTTCTCCACAGGCAGCTGCAGGGGAGGGGCCGATGTTTTTGGCAGGTGGAAACTTCCCCGTCTCAGGTGCAGCTTCATTTTATTCTTGGAGGGAAAGCAGAAATGCTCAGCCCTCCAGTTCTGAGGGTTTTTTTTTTTTTATGTTTCCATCTCCTTTTATTTGCAGACAATAACAGTGCAAATGGTTTTGGGAGTAGAAAATTTCCATTAGGCTTATGTTGGTTTTTTTTTCCCCCTCTCTCTGGGGGAAATGGCATTAAGAACCTACAACACATTCATTCTTTTATTGTCTTTTCCTTTTCTATTCCCCCTTTTCTTTTCTACTGAAATAAACTCGGTGTTTTCACCCCAGCCTTCCAAGAAAGCTGCTTTCCCCAGGGCTGGGTATGCCTGCCTGGGCCCTGGGGAAGCTCTGGGAACATAATGGGTGTTTTCAAAGTCTAATGGGTACTAAGTGGAATATTTCAGGCTTAATCACTGTTGAATCATTGACCCTTCCTTCATATTTACATCTTTTTAAATCGCTAAAGCTGTGAAAACAAAGGAAAATCCCAAAGCAGCAGCTGCCTGGTTCTGCCTCGGTGCCTGGGGGATGGATGGGGGTGAGGAGCTGGGATAGGAATGGCTGGGAAATGTGGAATTCTGCACCTCTTCTGTGGAGCTGGGATGGGAAATGAGGAATTCTGCACCTCTGATGTGCCTCGTGTGGAGCTGGGATGGGAAATGAGGAATTCTGCACCTCTGATGTGGAGCTGGGATGGGAAATGAGGAATTCTGCACCTCTGATGTGCCTCGTGTGGAGCTGGGATGGGAAATGTGGAATTCTGCACCTCTCCTGTGCCTTGTGTGGAGCTGGGATGGGAAATGAGGAATTCTGCACCTCTGCTGTGGAGCTGGGATGGGAATGGCTGGGAAATGAGGAATCCTGCTCCTCTCCTGTGCCTCATGTGGAGCTGGGGATGAATTCCTGGCCTGGCTGGGCGAGGCTCTGGGCTGTGCTCACACCCAGAGCCAGGACCCTGCGAGCTCCCCCTGATCCAGGAGCTTTCCTTCAGACCTCGGGGGGGGAGCTGGAGGGAAGGTGAGGGTTCCACCTGTCCCTCACGTGCTCCGGGATGAGGAAAAAAAGCCTCATTTTGCCTTTTTTCCCCTCAATCAGCAGCGTTTTGGAGCAGCCTGGGCTGGTGGAGGGTGTCCCTTGGCAGGGGTTTAAGCCCCCTCCCAACCCAAACCATTCCGTGGCTGTTCTTCCCCATCATCCCAAATCCTTGGGGTTTCCATCACTTGTGTGTGCCTGGGCTCTGCTCCAGCCCCTCTCCAGCCTGTCCTGGCTAGAAATGAGACTTTTTGGGAGTTGCTAAAAGCTGGCTGTGCCTGGTGGGTGCCTGGAGGAAGGAGTGTGTATCCCTGGGGAATGGAGGATGGGTGGATTCGCCCTGAATCACACTGAAAAGTCTGTCTAGACTGTGTTTGATGAGTGGGATAATCACCAGGCTTTAATTACTCCAAGGGAGAGGGAATCCAGCCCTGTCTCTGATGCTCCAGGCAAGGGCTGCAGTTGGAATTTCTGTGCTTGGGAGCAGGTGAGAATGGAAGATGGATGGATGAAGGATGGATGGATGATGGATGGATGATGGATGGAGGATGGATGGATGGATGATGGATGGATGATGGATGGAGGATGGATGGATGGATGATGGATGGATGATGGATGGAGGATGGATGGATGGATGATGGATGGATGATGGATGGAGGATGGATGGATGGATGATGGATGGATGATGGATGGAGGATGGATGGATGGATGATGGATGGATGATGGATGGAGGATGGATGGATGGATGATGGATGGATGATGGATGGAGGATGGATGGATGGATGATGGATGGATGATGGATGGAGGATGGATGGATGGATGATGGATGGATGATGGATGGAGGATGGATGGATGGATGATGGATGGATGATGGATGGAGGATGGATGGATGGATGATGGATGGATGATGGATGGAGGATGGATGGATGGATGATGGATGGATGATGGATGGAGGATGGATGGATGGATGATGGATGGATGATGGATGGAGGATGGATGGATGGATGATGGATGGATGATGGATGGAGGATGGATGGATGGATGATGGATGGATGATGGATGGAGGATGGATGGATGGATGATGGATGGATGATGGATGGAGGATGGATGGATGGATGATGGATGGATGATGGATGGAGGATGGATGGATGGATGATGGATGGATGATGGATGGAGGATGGATGGATGGATGATGGATGGATGATGGATGGAGGATGGATGGATGGATGATGGATGGATGATGGATGGAGGATGGATGGATGGATGATGGATGGATGATGGATGGAGGATGGATGGATGGATGATGGATGGATGATGGATGGAGGATGGATGGATGGATGATGGATGGATGATGGATGGAGGATGGATGGATGGATGATGGATGGATGATGGATGGAGGATGGATGGATGGATGATGGATGGATGATGGATGGAGGATGGATGGATGGATGATGGATGGATGATGGATGGAGGATGGATGGATGGATGATGGATGGATGATGGATGGAGGATGGATGGATGGATGATGGATGGATGATGGATGGAGGATGGATGGATGGATGATGGATGGATGATGGATGGATGGAGGGATGGATGGATGGTTGGATGGAGCTCAGGGGGTTTGTTCCCAGCTGGTGGAGCTCTCTGGGGTCCCAGGAGTGCCCTGGGTGGGCTGTGCCCCCCTGCCCTGATCCCAAACCCCTCTGGGCAGCCCGGGGCAGGGTCCAGCCCATCCTGCTGCGTTTTCCAGGTGCTGGATCCAGGGGAAATCGAGGCAGGGTCAGCGCGGGCTGGAGGCCAGGCCTGACCCCGCTGTGTTCTGGGGCAGTTCCCAGAAAGGATTTCCAGGCAGCAGAGCACCTGGAAACCTGAGCTGTGACTCAGGACAGCTGGATATGGAACAGCTGCAGCCTCCTGCTGCTGATTCAGATCCCGATCCCGTTCTGGAGCCGAGTGGGAGATGCTGTTCCCAGCAGCCTCCTCCTGGAACATCCCCCGGCTCCAGGGCAGCTCGGGGAGCGCTGGGGCAGAGCAGGGCACGGCAGTGTGGCTGTGAAACTGCACAAAATCCCAAATATCCCTTTGGTGCCCGGCCAGGAGCGGCCTCGGTGCCCGGCACGG